TAATGCGAACCCTGATCGGAGCTTTGCCATGCATCGCTTTGTTGATAGCACGGTCAGTAGGAGCAGCGGGAACCAAGCTCCCATCGAGTATGCTTTCGAAGACATCCTCATCAGAAACACAAAACATGGCTCACTGTTCCCTCACACACCGACTTGCTCCAGTCTCGGAGAAGTCCAGCCCTCGAGATTACATTATAAGTATTGGTCCATGTATAAATGTGGATCTATGCAGTCTCTATACAGTTGAGAATCCGTAAACTCTTGCAGTTCATCATCTCGTCGCTTGCTCGATTTCCCGTGAAGCCGCCCGTGGAGATTCAAAGCCTTTTTGATCATCCAGGATGCAGCTCTCCTCTTGCTCTTTGTGAGATCAACCTGAATGCACACCAAGCCCTCTGAACCCACCCCCATCCCTGGACACGTGCCGCACATGCAGCCAAACTTCTTCCCAGTTCCCGGCCACTGTCTTCAAAACCCACATCAAAGTGGGAATTCCAAGAAGGTTCCGGTGGCACACCAATCGTGGCATCACGACGGTCAGCAACTCCTCGGCTGCCGCCCCAAAATACACACCGAACCCTTACATAATGCACGCATTCACAAAGGTCTGTTTATCTATGTGTCTGTACAAAAAAAATATATGTATATATATATATATATATATACATATATATATATCTATATATCTATCTCCCCCCCCCCCCTTCCCCCCCCCCCCCCCCCCCCCCCTCCCCCGTCCCCCCCCCCCCCCCCCCTCCCCCCCTCCCTCCCCCCCCCACCGTGGAATGAGTGTTTTTGTTGAAAAACAACTCATTCAAACCCGGCCCCGCACCCCCCCCCCCGGCCCCCCACCCCCCCCCCCGCTATCCAAGCATACTTTACAAAAAGGTGCATATATAAGTACAAAAATGTAAATATATGGGTAAAGGTATATACATATGTAGGTGCACATATATATATATGTATATAGATATATCGGCATACACACGTACATGCATGCGTGCATATACTTATATACATACATATACACACATATCCATCCCTGCCTTCGATTCCCTACGGAAGATCCCGGAGATGCATGCATGAACCTCAGCGCTATGTGTGTGTGTATATATATATATGTACAAACATATGTACGTATATATATATATATATATGTTATATAATCTCAAGTGCGGTTGTGCAGAACACACCAGTGTGTATAGACACGGGGCATGCAAATAGGGCAGAGCAACATCATGCCAATAAACGTATGCACAGTCTGTAAAAAACATATGATACATCACACCACCTTTGTCCGAGGCACCTTGTTTGCCTTGATGTGCGCACATGTGATGCTACCCTTGTCATCGGTAGCATCATCACCCTTCTTCTTCCCAGGTGGCTGGACCAAGAGGTCTCCGATGAGCGTCGCCCGAGCTTTCAACACTTTGCTGCTGGTGATATCCTTATAAGGCAGCATGAGCCAGATCAAGACATGAACTGTGGAGCAATAGCCCTGCAATGATTCTCAGCACTGCAGCAAAGTATATACCGATGTGAACTGGTGTTGGGCCAGCCCAAGGAAATTGAAAGCCGTACGGAAGTGTAATTCTTACAGGTTTGGGTCTATATGGGTCGCCATGACAACGATACACATAGAGATAAAGACATAGATGTACAGATATAGATGCAAAGGCACAAAGATATGGATACGGCGTATATGCAAATGTTATAAGTGCATATATATATATATATGTAATGATCTATGTATATAAACAGTTTGGGGTTGTATAGGCACATTTATAAAGCTTAAAGTTTCACGGGATGTGGCGTCCATGTGCAGCCGGTTTCGTTTCACACATCTAGATGCGCATCAAGCTGCTTCAACCAATGCAAACGCAGCCAAGTTGTCTTCCGGCTCCAACTTGTGGCCCGGATCGGTCGGCACATCTGTGCTGCTTGCAGCCATGACGTCCACGGAGCTAAAACCCTGAAAGTATGTGGTGCTCCCAGTGCTCCCAGTGGAAGTTCACACGGTATTGCCATACATATGTGCATATATGTATACAGACCAGCCATATGAGCATGTTCGCTTCGAGCCCTCGCTGTGCTGATTGCAGGTGCAACATGGCATAGCAGACATCAACACAGCAGCCCGAACATGCGACCAGCAATGCGGGCCCTTTCTTCTGTCGAACACTATACATGCCTGTAACATAAATGTATATACATATATGCACACACACCCATACACAAACACCGATATGCCTATACGTACGAACCTTTTTATATATACACATATAATCTGCCCGAACATGATGTATGAGTAAATGCGTGTGTCTACATATGTGTATATATATATATATGCACGTACATGCACATACAAACAGATACATGCATATATGTACATATTATGTACTTTTATATCTACTTATATTTACCTACCGGCCTACCTACAGACATACATACATACATGTATATATCACACATATGTGTGTGCATATGTATGTGTTTATATAAATACCTAAACAATGTGTGTATATGTGCACACATATTGGCCCCTATATACACATGTGTTCTCAGAGGTGGGTATATATAGACACATACTATACATCTGTACTCGTTCGAATATATGACACACACCCCAAGCCAACCCGAAGACAAGGAACAACCTGAAGTCCCGTGCTCCTATACAGTCCGAACATGTTTTCGAATCAGCATCTGTGTATATAGACGTAAAGCCACACCCGTGCCGCCACGAACATGTCCGGTACTTGTACAATATGATTGAACCAGGGAAGCCAGCAGATGCGCCCACGAATAAGTTGCGATCGAGTGGCATTTTCACTGCCTCTTTCGTGAGCAGCATCATGGCGGAGAAAGAGCAGGTGGCGTTCTATATAAGAAAGGCCATTGGGAGAAGCAACTGCTTCTTTTGTTTGCATCCAAAGTGTTTCATCTTTATATAAAGCATCCATGTAGTGCCTTTGCAAGAAAGTATATAAAGATGTCCTTTGTAAGTTGTCCTCCAGAATGCTTGTAAGACATTCAACACTATGCTTGCATAGCGGATGGTGCACTGACAGTTCATAAAGTAGCTTAAGATGCAAGAACGGCAAGACATCATCGCCATATGCGGTTTGTCGCCACCTGACCCCGAGGCTTCAACATTCTGTACAAACTACCGTAATCATCATCACGAAACTTAAGCGGTTCAGGGTCATCAACCTTAAAACCTAAAAAAGTAGGTTTGCAAAACACGAACCCAAAAAAAACAAGGGCTTTCAATGACACGCTACGGAACCCAAAAAAAACAGCTCCAACCAATAATAAGTATGGCCTGGCCAAAAGGAACTACCTTCGGGCCCCAGGGTACACCCTAAATCCCTGAACACCTCAAACACCCTACACGCTAAACCCCTAAACACCCAAAACCCCTACACCTACACCCTAAATCCCTGAACACCTCAAACACCCTACACGCTAAACCCCTAAACACCCAAAACCCCTACACCTACACCCTAAATCCCTGAACACCTCAAACACCCTACACGCTAAACCCCTAAACACCCAAAACCCCTACACCTACACCCTAAATCCCTGAACACCTCAAACACCCTACACGCTAAACCCCTAAACACCCAAAACCCCTACACCTACACCCTAAATCCCTGAACACCTCAAACACCCTACACCCTAAACCCCTAAACACCCAAAACCCCTACACCTACACCCTAAATCCCTGAACACCTCAAACACCCTACACGCTAAACCCCTAAACACCCAAAACCCCTACACCTACCCTAAATCCTACACCCTACACGCTATACACCTACACCCTAAATCCCTGAACACCTCAAACACCCTACACGCTAAACCCCTAAACACCCAAAACCCCTACACCTACACCCTAAATCCCTGAACACCTCAAACCCCCCTACACGCTAAACCCCTCAAACACCTACACGCTAAACCCCTAAACACCTACACCCTAAATCCCTGAACACCTCAACCACCCTACACGCTAAACCCCTAAACACACCCAAAACCCTACACCTACACCCTAAATCCCTGAACACCTCTGTCAAACACCCTACACGTAAACCCCTAAACACCCAAAACCCCTACACCTACACCCTAAATCCCTGAACACCTCAAACACCCTACACGCTAAACCCCTAAACACCCAAAACCCCTACACCTACACCCTAAATCCCTGAACACCTCAAACACCCTACACGCTAAACCCCTAAACACCCAAAACCCCTACACCTACACCCTAAATCCCTGAACACCTCAAACACCCTACACGCTAAACCCCTAAACACCCAAAACCCCTACACCTACACCCTAAATCCCTGAACACCTCAAACACCCTACACGCTAAACCCCTAAACACCCAAAACCCCTACACCTACACCCTAAATCCCTGAACACCTCAAACACCCTACACGCTAAACCCCTAAACACCCAAAACCCCTACACCTACACCCTAAATCCCTGAACACCTCAAACACCCTACACGCTAAACCCCTAAACACCCAAAACCCCTACACCTACACCCTAAATCCCTGAACACCTCAAACACCCTACACGCTAAACCCCTAAACACCCAAAACCCCTACACCTACACCCTAAATCCCTGAACACCTCAAACACCCTACACGCTAAACCCCTAAACACCCAAAACCCCTACACCTACACCCTAAATCCCTGAACCCCTCAAACACCCTACACGCTAAACCCCTAAACACCCAAAACCCCTACACCTACACCCTAAATCCCTGAACACCTCAAACACCCTACACGCTAAACCCCTAAACACCCAAAACCCCTACACCTACACCCTAAATCTCTGAACACCCCAAACCCCCTACACGCTAAACCCCTAAACACCCAAAACCCCTACACCTACACCCTAAATCTCTGAACACCCCAAACCCCCACACCCTAAACCCCTAAACACCCAAAACCCCTGCACCCTGAGCCCTCAGGGGCCTTCTCTATCCCCCGCTGTCCTGACCCGGGGAACTCGTGTCTTCTTCGGAGCTCGATGTCGCCTGTCGGGACATCTGGGAGTTTCCGAAAATAGGGGTACCTTATTTGGGGTCCTTATACTAAGGATCCTACTGTTTAGGGTACTATATTAGGGTCCCCTATTTTCGGAAGCTCCCATCTTGAAAGTGGCTGTTCAATAACCGGGATTTGAAGCAACTAGGGAGAAAAAAGCATAGACTGTCATTTGGTAATGGTTACCTTTAAGTAACAGGTCCCCAAAAATACCACAACATTGTACTCCAAAGCCCCGGTAATTTCACAAACATCACAACTTTACGATAAAGTAACTATACTGACTATACTCATTGTCATAGTATCTCACAGTTTTGAAAAGGTAACCATACTCATAAGCGTACAAGAAGGTAACTATACCGACTGTACTCATAGTCTCACAATAGAGGGTGGCGACACTCACAATTACAGAAGGGCACCTGCATTTAATCATAGCTTGACAAAATGAGGTAGCTAAACTCACCATTTTACAGTAAGGGAACTATAACTTGCTCATGATTTTGCAGGAGGCAACTATGACTGTACAGTAACTGCAGGGTTTAAGGTGTTGGGCTTAGCGCCTCAGAGGTTCGGGGCTTGGGGATTGAACGCTCAGGGTTTAGCAGTTCAACGACTTAGCCGTATTGAGTCTTCTATACTGAACTTAGAACCCGAGCAAAAATTATAATTTTAGCTGTCTCTTAGGGATTGTAATAACCCAAAATTAAAAAGTATTTCTAAGTACCTCTAAGTCTTGGGGGATTACGGAGGAGGGTGGAGGCCTCCTGCTCGATCGATTTCGAAAAGAGACGGGAACAGCTGCGCGTGGCTGCCACAGACGAACGATATGGGAGATTCCGAAAATAGGGGACCCTAATATAGTACCCTACATAGTAGGATTCTTATTATAAGGACCCCAAAATAAGGTACCCCTAATTTTCGGAAACTCCGATGTGCAGACGAATCATGCAAGGCACATGCATGATTTGCAGGACCACGACCCTCACAAAAACGGTAAATACACCATGAAATCAACAATTACAAGACATCTGTCGTATCAGGAAAACAGCAGTTTTACATCCATCTCAGTCTCAGCTTGCAGTCGACTGGGAACACAATGAAAATAGATGGGACGATTTGGTGTGATGTATCGCAGAAAGCCTCGCCTCGTTCGGCACTGGTATCGCAATCTGCCCACGCGCATGCTCCCGTAGCCGCTGCAGAAGCTCTGCCTGTGAATTATCACGTGGACTACCTAAGTCGCAATTGTAAGGAAACTCGTTCGCATGCAATCGTAACCTCTTCATGTAAGCCTCAGTTTCCAATCCAGGCATCCTACTAGCTGCAACGAGCTGTTCTGAATGCCCACGAACCACTTCAATCATAATTAAACCCGAAAACCAAATGCCCGAAAACGGAGGAACCGTCTTTTGCCACACATATCCAGAGGTCTTGTCTTCCGCAAGAATTCTGGTCCAGATTCTAGATCTAGTAGAACTCCCCCTGCAAATGTGCATGCATTGTGGCTCTTCCTTCGCGTAAAATGAGACTGTGCTTGTGCACATTGCCTGTTCCTAAGATTCCTCTATCTGCAGACATCCGCCCGATCTAACTCCGATTCACTCCATCTTACGACCTTCTTCTTCTACTTCGACGTCCGGCCTTTATTCCAAAGACTTCGTCCCGCCTTGTGGCTTTTTGAATCAGCGAAAGCAAGCCCATCTCCCCACACTTTGCTGGATGCTTCACCGAGAAATTAGAAGCTAAAGCATTCTAAAATCAACTGAAACAATCCCGACTACTGCAGTCACAACTGCAATTCTGACAATTCTGACAATTTCCCTAAATCCTAAACCCTAAACCCTAAACCGTGGGTCTGGGAACAAACGTTCCCACAGTCCCAACAGAGCTCACGGGCCGAATCCAGTTCAGGGCTTTGTATCCGTATTAGGTTTTAAGGTTCGGGGGGTTCAGGGTTTAGGGTTTAGGGATTTATGTCCTTATATTTGGAATCATGGTAGGATTGAAGACATTTACGCAAGAACAATTATCGGCTACCAGAATTCCATATCCAGCTACGGAGCGATTTTAAACCCCTTTCCGATTCCCTCAACCCTGAACCGTCGACCCTGAACCCTAAAACCCTATAAACCCTCAACCCGAATTCCAGGGCCGCGGTGCCTCACGGTTTTGGACCTCCTCCTCCGTGATGCGCCGCAGAACTTGAAGTTCACGGGTCCTGTTCTAGGTTCATGAGTAGCCCGTTTAAGAAGGGATTATAGGGGTTCCTTCCCAGGGCATGAATAAGGGTACAAAAGGGGTTTAGGGGCTACTATACTGGGTTCAGTAGTAGCCCCATTTATAGTAAAGCTACCCTTTTTCCTGCTATTCGGTTCTAATAAGGAGACCCTAAAGCAGAAAGGGCAAAAGGGTACTACTCAGGAACCTAGTTTTTGCGGTCTTTTGAGGATGTAAGACACGGGGTTTATCCCAAAGTCCCGGGTCTACGGGACAACTTCTCGTCTAAGCTCTAGCCCAAGTTGTCGCTAACTAGATTCATCTATGCATCTATCTCCGGGGCTACTTGGAGGATCAAGATAAGTACCCTAATGAGGGTTATAAGCAATTACAAGTATAGTCACCTTATTTATAACCCTAAACCCGTTCCCCTAAACAGAAGCCTTTTAGGAGCCCTTTAAAGTTACTAAATCCCATGATCGTTTAAGTAATCGTCCTAACAAGGCCTATTCAATGAAATATAGTCCCCTACCCCCCTCCCCCCCCGCCTAAGGGTCCCTATGACGATGGGGCTTAGGGCTTTTTGGCCTGGGGATGAAAAGCTGAGGAGCTCGGATGTCCGGTCACTTGAGCTTTCGCCATCCATCCAGAGACTCCAAAACCCCTGAAGTAGGAATACACCTTCAAGGAATCCTTGAAGGGATCTATAAGGGAATTACGGGATGTGCCTTAAATAAATATTAGTCTAGTACCCTAATATAGGAACTTGATTGAGAAACCTTGAGCCTTTATTAGGGTTCCCTTTATGAATCCTACTATTTTGGGGTTATAGGCCCAGGATTTCTTAATGAGGTTCCTACACTATGCCTTGAACAATGATCGGATCCCCAGTGCGAGTTAAGGCATATTCCTTAAATGAAGAGATTTGGACTCTCTGAGCACGATGAGTCCTCGAACTACTCCTGAGCAAGCTTCGATCAAGGATCGAGGTTGGGCTTGCATAGTCCAAGGGCACATGTTGTTATGACCCTTTCAGATCTTTACAATCCCTACGCGATGGGCGCCCCGGGGATTTCCTGTCATTGCCTCTCATGACAGTATCACGCTAAACTGATATTCTGCTGAATTCATGCTTGCTTTGCGCGTAAACTCGGAACACCAATGTTCCGGACCAGACAGCATCGAATGATGGTGCTTGGAGGACCAGTTATAAGTATAGCTACCTTATTTGTATCAATAGTTACTAAGTCCCATGATCCTTTTAAGTACCGTAAACCCAACAGATCCCTCATAGAACCCTAAACCCCCTAAACCTTAAACCCTGAATCGAAACATAGGAGGAACAACATGCAGGCCTCTCCTAGAGAACCCACGCCTTGAACCAGAGTCGCCTGCACATCTAGGATTGGGTAAAGCCTTACAGGGCTTGGGGGTTTAGGGGTTTAGGGGCTTAGGGTTTAGGGGTTCAGGGTTTAGGGGTTTAGGGTTTAGGGGCTTAGGGTTTAGGGGCTTAGGGTTTAGGGGTTTAGGGTTTAGGGGTTCAGGGTTTAGGGGTTCAGGGGTCTAGGGTTTAGAGTCCTGTAGGATCGACTATTGACTCAAGAACTACGTGATGATGCAAACGAGCCCTACGTCCAGGATCTCACGAAACCCTACCACCGTTTACCTGAACATCTCTGAGATCACAGAAACAAGCATTTCGGGCTTCGGGCTCTTAAAGGACCCAATAATTAATTAGGTACTTAGGCTTAACTAGGTACTTGGACCCTTAGGGTTAGCCCTAACCCAAAACACCTACACCCTTAAGTTCTGAACCCCACGCCTCATGAGCGAAACGACGGAGGTCTCGAGCAACTGTATGGTGGCCTCTGTCGCCTTCTCCAAGCCTTCCGTGCAGAGCGAAACCCTACCTATCCAAAGGAACTACAATGGAGACTCTAGGTAAACCCTAAAATGAAAGCTAGGGTTTTAGGTGTTCTCCTTCAGGATGACAAGCCGTCTTTTTCGCGTCTAAGAGTTAGGGGGCGAGCTTTCAGGGTTGGGGATGAAGGCCCCGAAGAGGATTGGTCCGCGAGACCTACGTCAAGCACCCGTTGTTGCGATGTACGGAGCTGACCTCGAAACCCCTGAACCCCAAGCTCCCAAACGTAGACCGCACCCTAATGCCTTGGTCTCGAGCATCTCAACCCCAGAGATTGAAGAGGAAGCATGACATAGATCATAGAACTCTAAACCCACGAAGCCTGAAGCTTAGAGTTTACAGCCTCAGGTTTAGGGCTTAGGGGCGAGGATCTCAGTTGGATCTTCAGTCCACAGAAGACCAGCAAGAGCCGGATATAAATTGAGGCCTCGGCTACCCTTAGAATCAATCTGGAGAGGGGCTTCGGAGAGGGATGCGTATATACTAGTCTATATAGTGCTCGTTCTTAATTGGATTGTGGTTATGGTGCGGCTAATTATCAATAAGTGCTGGTCTGCGTGCTGGTATTGATGCTGAGGTCTTCTGCATTGGTTTTCGTTGTAACCAAGCCACATCAGAATTACCCTGAACCACATCGCGAAAGGCCAAAACACTAAACCCTAAACAATAAATAAATCCCCCAACACCATTACCGCCTGCGAAACCCTAAAGCCTAAACCCCTAAACCCTCATCGAATCAGCATGCTCCCCAAGTCCGAGGCCCAGCTCATCAGAAACGCCAACTTCCTGGAACTGTCGGAAGATAATATAGAGGCTTTTATAGTTAGAATAGGGTTTTGGGTCCAATATACTATAATTAATCAGAATAAGGAACCCCCACAACGGTATAGGTAAATATTGCGGCACCTAGATTAAACTTGGTTTCGAATCAGACTCGAAATGCTGTCGTGTTAGGATAGGGTTTAGGATTTCGGCTGTAAGCCTTGCAGTTTTCAGGAGATTGAGAGTTCTCAATTTCGCGGGAGTGGAGCTTGCTTGCCCGCGAGCTTCTCACTTCTGATTAGATAGAAATGCTGGCCAAGTTTATGCTGATGAAGACATTCTGCCACTACGGTTGATGATAAAAATCCTGCATGACCCATAATAAGGAATATACCATAATTCCCATAGTCTAGGGTCCTTAAGGTAATGCAGGATTTATATCATCAACCGTAGAAATATCCCCATGTCCTTCCGCGGGAACGAACCTTGTGCCAAGACCAGAACGAGTGTCCAACATGCAAGCCACCGGCCACCCAATTTTGTGCTACATGCATCAAAGCGCACTCTGCAGTCCCCAAGTCACCCTAAACCCTAACAGCCCTGGAAACTTACGTCCGAAACCCTCGAAGTCAGGGTTTAGGATTTAGGGTTTAGTAGGATTCATGAGGCCTACATAAACCCCCCAAAGTAGGTAAAACAATGGCCCAACACCCATAACACGCCATGTTTCGACGTACTTTCGGGGTGCAGGTAGGTATATACTTCTGGACCCTGCACTCGAATCCTTCTGTGGTCTCGCCCTAAACCCTGAAACCTTACACTCGAATCCTTCTGTGGTCTTGTAGTCTCCTCTGCGAACTTGCGGAAAACCGGTTCGATCTCCTCCTGAGGGCAGCCTGTCTGCCTTGGCCGGGGGCTAAGGGCTCCGGGTTGCTACCCTACCTGCAAGCCCTAAACCTATGTAAACATCAAATCTCACAGAGTCTTCCTTCCTGCGCCGAGGTCGGGGCAGGCAAAGGTCCAGAAGCCGCACCCGCCACGCTCTCTGGAGCTCCTCCGACACTTCCAGCTGCACCTGAGGGTTCAGGTTTTGGAGGGTTTAGAGTTTATTTGTTTTTCAAGGCCTTTTTCCAACTGCAGAACAGATGAAATCCCTCCAAGGGCCGGCGGCTGGTTTAGAGTTTGAGGTTTAGGGTTTAAGGGTTTGTAGGGTTTAGGGTATGGGTGTTTGTGGGGGTTTTAGGGTTTTTTTTTTTTTTTGAACTCCTTTTTACATCTGCCTGACCATCCCCAAGCTGGAGGGTTTGAGGTTTAGGGTTGGAAGTTTGGAGCTTGGGTTTAGGGTTTGTAAGGTTTAGGGTTTAGGGCTGAAGGGTTGTCACTTAAGGGTCTATAAGGGATCTATGAGGGCTCTATGCTTCTATAAGGGTATGGGCCTAAGCTTCAGGGTTTCGGGGATTCGGCTTGGTAGGTTTGTAGGGTTTAGGGAGGATCCGGGCTGCGGGTTTACGGCTGCAGCTGAGAGTTCAGAGCTTATAGTTAGAGGCATCGGTTTAGGGTTTAGGGTTTAGGGTCACAAAGTCACCAGAATCATGCCACACTGTCCGAACCAGTAGCCTGGTAATTACTCATCAAGAAAACCGAAAGCCCACCGAAACCTCGTCATGCCATCATACGACCCAGAGCTCGGTGCCAGTGCTCCGTGCCCCCGTCCCATCCTACAACAGCACACCCTTGCTGCTCCCTCGCGAAAACTCTAACCCCAAGCACGCAAAACCCTAAACCCCTAAACCCTTAAACCCTAAGAACACTGAACCCTAAAACTTTAAGAGACCCTAAAACACCAAAACCCTAAAGCCTTAAAACCCTGAAACCATTATGTCCCAGACCCTGCAAGTGTGTTCGTCTTCCAAGTGCCTCTTTCGTGGAGATGGCCGATTCAGAGTCGGCCTCGGCGCCCACAGCCCAGTCACTCCCAACATGCAAACGGCTAAGGGTTTAGGGTTTTGCCTAATAGGCCAGTACAAGGCCGAGGGCTTAGGCTTTAGGGCTTAGGGTTTTTAAGGGTCTGAAGCTTATTGCTTTGTAGTCCTTGCAGTGTATACTTGCGGTATAGTCGTATACTCCCTCAAAGACACTTCTAAATTCTCTGAGTAATGAGGCTTTGTAGCAAGAATACAGTCAAAGCTCATGAAACAAACTCGAACCACAAGTAACTGCCTGGTGTGGCGAGGTCTGAGGTGGCACACATCACTTGATGAATCCCAACACGAACGGTACAACGGGCTATTGGGGGGTTTAGGTTTAAGGCTTTTGGTGTGTGGTCGGGGTTGAGGAGAAAGAGCCGAAAGCACACAAGACGAAACGGGAACATAGAATGATTCGACACAGGTCGTTGCCAGCCATGCCAAGCACCATAGCATCACACACTGAATGAACAAGCCCCTTCCTTCCCCCAGTGGAATTTTAAGACATTGCTGGGGCAGAAACTTTGGCAATCGCTCTCGATCTCTCCCTCTCTCTCTCTCTCTCTCTCTCTCTCTCTCTCTCTCTCTCTCTCTCTCTCTCTCTCATACAAACACATACATACATACTTTTGCACATACTATGGCAGACACAATGAAGCAGCAAGGCTACCAGCAGTTATTGACAAGTCATTGAGGCTCCACAGGGGCTGTCTTAGTGCTTGAATCGTTTAGGTGCGTTACACAGCACCTAAACCCAAAACCCTGCATACTCAAAGCCTTACCCTAAAGCCGAATTAAACCCTGAACCCAAACCCGAAATCGATCCAGAACGGCTGTCGGGCAGGCCTTGTTTGATCGTTGGGCCCGAAGGGAAAGCGTCGACGTCTGGTCCGCCCAGAAAGCCTAAGATGTGGTCTTGGACACTCCGAGCCCTCAGCATCGTGTAGTCGCATCAAGCATTCGTTTGGGGTTTTGAGCTTTGGCAGAGTCCCCATGCTGAATGAATGCCCTTCTTAGGAGACCTTACATGCAAGACTAACTCAAACTCAACAAGAGGCCCATATTTTTACGCTTCTAAGACGACACCAAACTCTGAAAACCCTAAACCCTCAACGCCACAACTCACCCTGAACCCTAAACGCTAAAACACCCAAGCCCTCAAACCGACACCAACCGAGAACGACATAAACCCAAAGCCCTAAACCCCTGAACCCTGAACCCCTAAACCGTAAATCCCTAAACACTGCACCTAACGAGAACCCTCATAGATCCCTATTATTGGACCCCTGGAACTTGTGAAAGATACCTTGAAACCTAACGCACTAAAGCTCTCGACCTCAAATCCTTAAAACAACCCAAAGCACTAAATCAAACCCCTAAAGCCCTTAACCCTTCAGCGAAATTGTCAAAGCGTTGAAATCCGAAAACCCTACGCCCCAAAACAACACAATCAAACCTAAACAAACAAAAACAAGGCACCAAAACTCCTAAACCCAGAGTCTTTGAAGCTCCTGATTAGGGTTTAGGGTTTAGGGTTTAATTAGGCTGGATCTGAAGCCCGAAAGCACCAAAACCCTTCGCCACGCAGCTCTCAGCCGATCAAGGTGTCTCATCAGGTCGTTCCTCCAGTCGAGTTGAGGGGGTAGGGTGTTGGGTTTAGGGGTATAGGGTCGAGGGGTTTAGGGTTTGGGGGTATATAGGGTTTAGGGGTTAAGGGGTTTAGGGGTTTTGGGTTTAGGGTTTAATCTTGGGTGTAGGGTTTAGGGTTTAAGGGTTAAGGGTTTAAGGCTTTAGTGTTTAGGGGTTTAGGGTTATTAAGGGTCTTATCAGGTCGTTCCTCGGCTCGGCGTTGTGATTCCCAAGAATATGGGCGCCTTGAGCCTTGGAATACGGGTTCTTCCTTGAAAAGAATCTGTGGGTGTGGTGCACTCAAGTAAAGTGATAATAAGCAGTCCTGGGGACTGCTAATTGCGAGCAATTCAAGCTGCTGCGTTGCTATTCCCAACGTGCTTGCCTGGGCTACTGATCATGAGTGTAGTTGTCATGGTGATGACTGTTCAACTGGTCATGATGATGTTGAAGATGGCGACGACAATGATGATAGTCACGACAGCGATGATAATAAGATAGATTGCATACTGTAGCGTAAAGCACCGACTTACTACTGTTGCGCGCTGTGACTGACGATCAGGCCCCATGCTTCTTGTTGAAGTTGCTGGGGTGGAGTATGTCACAGTGGCTCTTGTAAGAACTGGCGGAGTATTCCCAGCCCATGTGGATTCTTTTCCCTCACACATGCACGTTTGGATATGCAAACCCAGAAGTAAAAAAGCAACAACACATCTGAACATCTATATAAAAGTCGCGAGATCCCCTAACATCCATGTAAAGAGCATGCTGGAAATGCATGGTGAGGACCTCCAGCGAGCGAACCCCGATGACCCACTTTAAGCACTTCGTACAGAAGTTCGGGTTCAGGCTAGGTCTCCGACAACAAGCTTACATGCCAATCCCTTCAAACACAGTAACCTAAAACTCTCAAGCATCTTTTTTCAATCTACTCTCCACATATGCAGGGGAACAAGATTTTGGGATCTCTAAAGGGAGTTCTGTTACTACGCAGTTCTTGAGAATTCTATATTAACATCGTGGCTGAGTGGGACTGACTTGAGGGCAGCCAAGCAGCAGCTTAGCACGCAGCACCCAATGCTTGGTGGCCACCTCGCACACTTCCCAACAAAGCACATCAATGCCAGTAATCAATTCCCAAGAGCCGCAAGATCTTCGAGAATACTAGCAGCTACAGATGATGCACCATCATGTTCGACACTCTGTCAGGATCATATAGACCTAATACTGGCAGTCACTAAAGGAACCAAAAACATCCGTGCAACACCACAAGACCAAGAGCGCCACAGCACCATCGCCACCAAAATCCATCATGATCATCATAAGTAGTATTACTATGCCTACGATCATTATCTATATGAGTAATTATCATGCTACTTATTCCCATCGTTCAAAAAGTTCATCATCGTCATCGTCATCACCATCATTAAACCGTAAAGCCCTATACATCCCAAACCAAATGCTTCATAAAGCGTTGCTGGGGATTTCAGGGGCCCAGACGTTGCCGTGGAAGCCCTTCCCTGGGAAGGGAATCGACAGCTTCTTCCGTTCAGAGTCGGATCCTAGGATACCCAGTAACCTAAGAATAAAAAGGCCTCTCTTTTTGGTATTGGGGAACTTTATAAGGAACCTAGGACTACACAAAGGTAATAAGGGTACTACTGGGCATCCTAGGATCTGAATGATGATCACACCTTAAGGGTTCCTTATAGTTCTGACCTCTGACTTGCGCATGGTTTAGGGTTTCGGGGTGCAAGGTTCAGGGGTTTAGGGTTTCGGGCGTGAAGCCCGATGCCCAGGAGAGTCTCTGCCTGCTGCAACTCATGACTGCGCCACCGCTGCACGTACCTTGGGTAAGTTATAAGCTATCTTGGGGATCTGGGGCAACCTTGCACATAAAAGCTTCCCTCATACATTCTCCGAGAGTGCTAGCACAAGATTCGAAGCTGGCAGGTCTGCGGATCTAGAACAGCTCCTGCGGACTAGCATTATGATGTTGGGCGTAGAAGTAGAAAACCTCTATCCTACTGCATGTGCGCTTCTTTGCTTCTCTCTTTCGTTCCGCTTTGGCGCCTTTCCTCGTTTCTTTCTTCGGTTCGAGGTATTGACAACCAATGTGATTCGCTTGTCCGCTTCTTTGTATTTCCAAGCACTCGTTATTCCTCTTTGGCTTGGCTTCTGCCTTGGTTCCCTGCGTGTTTCTGTCCAGTTGCCATTCACGTCTACCTTTATTCTATGCTTTATTGTAGTCTGCCCGTTCGCCCTCTGCGCACAGACACACACACAAAACAACAACACAATGACAGCATGGTAAACCCTGAGCCCAAATGTCACCTGGCGATCCCCAATAATCAGCATGAGCAATTCTCGGGCGTTCTCCGGCTTCGAGAATTACAGTTTTTTTCGTGCGGGGGTGGAGTACGCAAAAATGTAGAGTTCGTTTCCGGCTTGATACTTTTTGGGAAGCAGCGCCCCGACTAATACTATTTCCTATACTAAGACGTGTGCCTCTACGATTCCTAGTACTGATGCTACTTGGTACTATAGCCCAGGCTAGACATACCCAACCCCTAGATGTCCTAAACCCTAATCCCAAACCCTGAACTGCATGAAATCCGTGTGGAATGAAGTCGTGCAGCTGGACGTACGAAGCGGCTCGCTCTTGAAGCTCTCGCGCATCTTCCTGCGAAAAATGAATAAGAATACATCTCGTCACGGCTTAAAATAGGTTTAGGGTTTGAGTTTGCCTCGTGGCCTCATAGTCCCCATAGGATGTCTTTCCTGAGCGAAGCACGAACCTCAAAAGGACGCCCAGAGCCACCCCAACGTCAAATTGATCGAAGACCTAACCCGCATACATGTATATACATGTATATATATATATATATATATATATATATATATATATATATGTAATGTAGATAAAGAATATGTGTGTACATATATATATATATACACACATACATAGACATATACATATACATCTACATCTACAATACATCTACATCAACAACAACATCAACATCAACATCAACATCAACATCTACATCTACATCTGCATCTACATCTACATCTACATCTACATCTACATCTACATCTACATCTACATATACATATACATATATACATACATACGGACGTCCTGAAAACTATCGGGCATAGGCTCCGCAGCCTAAACTCTGTTCATATAGGGGCCTCAGTAAAGTCAGAAGACGGTTTGGGGGCATGCTCCACTACTTGGAGGATCAGGGGACTTAGGAAGTAAGGCTATAAGTCCCCCAATTGGGGTTATAAGTCTTTACAAGTATAGTTACTTTATGTATAACCCTAATTACTACGTCCCATGATCCTTTAAGTATCCTTATCATCAGGAAACCTGAAGAATAGCAGTAAACTGTTCATCAAGCCCTATAAATGCTCCTCGAACTGTGTCGCCAGCTCTCTTTCCCATCGGGCGCTCATCGTGGCCAACAGCGATGCACAGAAGAAGAGTGCCTCGGACTGGAGTTTGTCAGTTCAGTTCAGGGTTTGTATGGCTGTCCTGGCAGTTGGAAGACCTTTGCCGTCAATCCTTCATCGACAGGCGAATAGTATATATATATATATATTACATATCTATACATCGGGAGGACGAAAGTTTTGACCTACTGGGCCTTTCTTGTCTTAAAGCATCTTGCGGAGTAGCGGAGTAGCGACAAGTGCGATTTACGTGGCCTGGCCAGCGGAGTATTTTCTACCCCGTTTTGAAATTATACTACTTTAATGTTCCGGAGGAGTAACCGGTGGGTCCTGTGCGCTAGGAGTCTACGGGGGAATGGGGGCCTGTCTTGGACGAAACAAGGAATAGGTCAAACTTTCGTCCTACCGTAGTATGTATGTGTATGTGTATATATATATATACATATATATATATATATATATATATATATGTACACCCTATATAAGGTGCAGTGTTCTTTTTTTTATTCTGCGAGCCCTGAACGGTTCTGCCGGACTGTCCCTGGATTTTGGCAACAGCCTCTACAAAAGTCCGATCACACCCTGACTGGATATCGAAACGGCATGGGGGTGCCAGCATGTCACCCACATCATCGATAGTTCAGACCCAAGCTCATTCCAAACCCTAAACCCTAAACCCCTAAACCCTAAACCCCTAAACCCTAAACCCTAAACCCTTAAACCCCTAAACCCCTAAACCCTGAACCCTAAACCATAAACCTCTGCTGCTCTGCTTCTGCATCCAAAACCCACTCGGAAGCACTTGCATCCAAACATCCCTATACGACCCAGTGACACACTGCGAGATCGACCGCTCTTTGCATACACTGCACAGCAGCTGCAACAACTAGTGAAACACTCTGTTAGGCCTGAAGTAGACTAGAAACACGAAGCCCTAATCTCCCCCCCCCTCCGCCCCAACCCCCCTCAAATCTCAACGGGTGAAGCAGGAGCCAGGTAAATGGGGTCCGAGCGATGTTGAACACGTTGGGCCAAGAGAAGTATAGCCCACCTGTCTCCTGCAAAGAGCATCACAACTCTACTTAACTGGTATTGAAAACGCTTGCAAAGTTTAGGAAGTTTAGGGTTTAGGGTTTAGGGTTTCAAAACCCCTAAATCCTTGATTACCATGGTTATCCTCAAAAAAAATCAGGCTTATGTCTGGCGAAGCAGGCCTTGGATTCAGATCTCCGGCTTCGCAAGATCATGGTACGCATGCCCTAAACCCTACCCAGAGGCTCCATAGTAGTTCCTTTTGGGGATTCCCTTATAGGATTCTCAATATGAACCCAAAAAGGAACTACTATGGAGCCTCTAGGTAAACCCAAAATCCAACGCCCAACCCTCAAACCTCAAAGAACGAAACCCGAAACCCTAACCCGAATCTCAAACCTTAAGGCTTGAAGCCCCAGAGCCCTAGAGCCCTACCCATATGGATCAACCCAACCAATATAGATCCCTTTTTTTAACACCCCCAAAGTAAGCCCACAATCCCCACATAAACCTCTAAATCACATAAACCTCTAAATCCCTTAACCCTAAACCCGAAGCCTTGGACGCTGAATCCTAAAATCTTAAAGCTCTGGCCTTGCGCAAACCGATGCTTTGGAGCACGACGCTGGTGACACGCTCCCGGCCGCTTCCGATGGAAGCCAGCCTAGTTCTGGGATTTATAGGGGTTTGAGTTTAGGGATTTTCGGTTTAGGGTTGTGCGGTTTAGAATTTAATGGAGTTTAGGGCAATGATTGGGGTTCAGGGCTTAGCATTTCAAGGGTTTCGGGCTGTAGGGTTCTATGGCTTAAGGCCAAAAAGGGTTTAGGGTGTAGGGGGCTCATGTTAGGGTTAAGGCACAGGGTTGCAAGTGTTCAGAGGGCAAGGATGTTGTAGCTTTTCTGAGTCCTGGACTTGGAGTGAGGCTTCAGAGTTTAGGGGTAGATGGCTTAAGATTCGGCCACAGTAGGGGCTCGGCGAGCGGAGAGTAGGCACCACAGAATGTAACAAGTTCTTGTTCTACTCACCTAAAGCGCGACAACAACAGTCTGGTCGTTCATAGGCCGATGCGTCAACGTTGAATTCTACATGTAATGCCATGCTACTGTGTTTGGAGCTAAAGTTTGCTTGTTGCAACTATCGTTATCCCTGCTGCGAACTTGCTCAGTAGTAGATGAAATGTATTGCCAGTAGCGTGAGTGCTTGTCGTTTTGTCGCTGTTTTGCTATTGCTACTGCTACTCTACTGCTACTCCTACGACGACGACTACTACCACTGCGACGGCAGCCAAGAGCGTTTAGGATTCGAATTAGGCTAGGCTTGGGTTGAGCTTTCAGCCAAGATGCAACGCTGCCTTTAGTGAAGGTTTCCAAGGCTCTGGAGACCACCGAAACCATAAAGCAAGGACCTGTATAAATGGGGCAGACTTCCGATAGATATTATGGCACAATGGCATAAGGACTACAAAAAGGATACGTGCAATTACTAATTATTTGCGATGCCGGTATTCAGAACTAAACCGTGATCACGCGACCACTGATTCCTCAGGCTCCAGCTGTGGCATGTACTCGAGGGCGTGGCACTGCCAAGGAGAAAGGAAACCAGTCGGACCTGCCACGGCGTGGCTTTGAAGTCTTTCGCGATAATTGGCACCGTCGTGTTTGTATCTTTTGCCAACAAGCCTTGAACTTGTTGGTCCAGCGCGAATCTCTCACCCTTGCACCCGAAACCCTGCCCAAGCCTAAACTCCAAAAGATTGAACTTCAAGTTCGAAGTCTTGCAGCACCCAGGCTTGTGGAATGGTTGAGGAAGGGCTCAACAAACGACCGCAAAACCCTGCATTCCGCACCCTCCACATCCGCTCCCATCGGAGATGCTTTGGAGATCGTTACACTCCTGTTCAACATGTGATATCTGAACTTCACTGTGATGAACACGTAATTATGCTGTTGTGGGTGCGTGGCCCTTACACCCAGGACCAGTGCAAGACCATGGATGTAGCATCGGCACGACTTTGGTCACAAGCTGGGCCCCAAACGGAGTGAACTCGAAGACTGCCTTCGAGGATATCATGCGCCTCGGCCTAGTAATTATTGTCGCGCACGAGTGGCCCAAGCCAACCTGAATCGTCAACCCTAAACAGTAGACCTTAAACCTTACACCCTATACAGGGCTTGGCGCTCGGATGGCTCGGACTTCATGGGAAGTTTAAAACGAAGCGTTGGCGAGGGTACCAAACCCCACAAAAGTCCCTCCACAAAAGTCTGCCTGCGTCGTCGATCTGCATCAAGAACGGGCATGGAAGTGATGGGCACTGGTACAGTGCCCACACCACCATCACCAACCTGTGGAGGAACACAGTTGGTGTAGCCGACTACAACGACTAAGACTACTACGACTACGACCACTACTACTTCTAGAACTTCTAGCACTTCTACGCTATGCGAGGGCGACGTGTACTACTACTACTACGACGACGGCTACTACTACTCCATTGCTGCGTTCTTCGAGTCTTGTTGCTGTTGCTGCTAGAGTACCTGCTATAGATTCTACCGCTGCCGCCGGTGGTCCTGCTGCTGCTGCTGCCACTGCCGCTGCTGCTACCATGTCGGGTGCGGAGACGACGTGGGTGCCCAGTCCCTTGCCAGGGGATGACCTATCTCGCTTTATCTTTCTCTCGGGTTCTCACAGGTTGGCGTATGTACTTGGAGGATGATGGGACTTAGTAAGTAAGGTTATAACTACCCCGATTGGGCTTATAGGGGGTTTCAAGTAATTATTTGTAAAGTTACCGTATTTATAACCCCAGGACCCTAGGTACTAAGTCCCATGATCCTGTAAGTATGGGATAGGATCCACCTTGTTGCCTGTTTGGGTGGCTGAGGTCTGAGACTCCTTGCCACACACGCTCGGATCCCAAGACCCCAGACTCGCCCAGCACCTGCAACGGCAAAACGCAAATCCAAGCAATGTGGCATGCATGTTCGAAGACCACATCCGAAAGCTCAATATAGCCCAATGTCCCCGGCCGCATCACATGATCATAATCATGATAGTAGCCACGAGATACTCACATGTGTGAAGCATGGTGATGATATAGCTAATCTAATGCAAAAGCACTATCAGCCCACAAGCTTCTAAACCCTAAACCCTAAACTTCAACCAGCTGCAAGTTGACGTAAAAAGCCCTCGGGATCTCGCGGATAGGTTTCGGAGAAGGCCCTTGACATTACATCACGGAACGTGGAAGCCGTCAAACTACCCTACTTAAAGGATCATGGGACTTAGTAACTAGGGTTATTTATTATAAATAAGGTAACTATACTCATAACCCCCAATTAAGGGTACTTATAACCTTACTTCCTAAGTCTCCTGATCCTTCAAGTACACCAGAAACCCCTACACCCTCAACTCACACGCGTCCCGGAATCATTGTAGAATGCTGGGGCTTTTCCCCAGGGCTCCAAGTATACAAATAGTACCTACTTTGGGGTCTAAAGGCTATAAATAGTACCTACTTTGGGCTATTTGGAGCCCGAGGGTTCGTTTGCAGGAAAGCGGCATGTTGAAGACGCGTACCGACTTCAGCGTTGCCTTGGAGTAAAGCTGACCCTAAGGCTCTATGTGCCGATGAGTAGAGACCTGCTTAGGCCTTGAATGGATTCCTATCTGGGTCGTTGAAGGCCGAAGTACTATTCTCTTGAATGTAGAAACAGGATTTAGGGCATAGGCTCGGTTTCAGAATGTCAAACCAACACTTTGAAAATGACACCGTCAGCCTACACTACAACATTCCCGATTCCTGTCTTTCAGAACTCTCGCACCTACAACAGCAATGACAACCGCAATTACGCGAACAATGCGAATAACAGTAATAACCCTTTAATATAAACAATGATAGTGCCGATGATCAGTCTGAGCCAGGTACCATCTGTACCTGCGCCCTAAAAACCCAAACTCCACCGCGCACTCTACCTCCTGCAGGAAATAACCTACTCGTATGAACTCGAAACCCACCTCCTAAGTTCACAGTCAACGCCCACTGCTGCCTCTGTACCTAAAGGTACCGCTGGTCTGGAAAATCTGAAATTGCGAAGCCCTAACCCTGAGCCCTGAAACCCTAAACCCCAAACCCTAAAACCCGACACCCCCCCCAAAAACCAACAGAAAAGGAACCCTGAAATCCTAAACCCCAAACTCTAAATCCCGCACCCCCCCCCCCAAACAAAAAAAAAAAAAAAAAGAATCCAACGGAAAAGTTCAGCAACTCATGGTCGTGCCCAGGGGCAGGCTTCGTCTCGGCCGTACCACCCGAGAGGCCAGAGAAGAGCAGAAGGAGATACCTACTGTAGGGTTTAGGGTTTAGGGGCCCCCAAATAACAACAGAGAGGGTTTGGGCCTAATGTAGGGTTTAGGGTTTTGGGGTGGTTAGGGCTTTTGGGGGTGTTCAGGGTGTTGATGATATAAATCCTAGGGTTCCTTGAAAGGGATCTATAATGGGTACCTTTAAGGGGATCCTTTAAGGGATCTATAGGGTTTAGGGTTGATGATATAAATCCTGCATTACCGTGAGGACCCTAAACTACGGGAATTATGGTATAATGCAGGATTTATATATCATCCACCGTAATGTAGGGTTTAGGGTTTCGGGGATTTAGGGGGTTTAGGGGCCCTAAACAACAACAGAGAGGGTTTGGGCCTAATGCAATCGTAAGGATAGGGTTCCCTTCAAGGTTCCTCTGAGGCCTACTGCGAGGGTTTAATATAGGGGCCTTCATGAGTGAAATGATGGAGCTTATAATAACGATCCTACTATTTAGGGTGCTATATTAGGGTCCCCTATTTTCGGAAACTCCCATATCATAGTAGTGTAGAGTTGTTATGAGGAATAACATGGGAGATTGCTCAAACTTCTGTATTGGACGCAGGATTGTAATTGCTGAGGTACGGTTGCCACTCTCCGGTTGTGTTATCTACCCGTAAACTCCTAAACCATGATTCTTGCAGAGACCGAAAATACATTGGAGAGCTGAAAGGAGGTTCTGCTCAACACAGAAACCCGGAGACGACTTTGAAGCATCGGAGACGCTGTCTAGCCTGTAGTACACCATTGACTACCCAGAGGCTCCATAGTAGTTCCTTTTGGGGATTCCCTTATAGGATTCTACATATGAACCCAAAAAGGAACTACTATGGAGCCTCTAGGTAAGCCATAAGCTCCTAAAGGCAGAAGATGCTTTCCAGGCAGGCGTATCTCAGGAGGCCTTGTTTTTTGCCAAGCCTCGTCCTATGCCCTGCTCTGAATGTTGTAGCTCGTTATTGCCTGGGAGCCTATTATCCAAAACTTGGTCTATTCTCCGGCTTCCGTCTGTGGCACCGGACTAATGCCGCAAGATCGGCTCCAAACAAGGACAGTATTCGGACCTGATGGGGAATGGCACGAGGTGACTGGCGCCGGAACCTGATCTCTAAACCTCAAAGCTTAAAAGCAGAGTTGTAGGGCTTAGGGTTCAACGACAATTGTGCCATGCACCAACGGCCAAGTCAGGAATGGAGCTCTCTGAGTTCGAAAAGGTGAAGCAAGTTCCACCTTGAACCCACGCAACTTGAAACTTCAACCGAAACCTTCCAAACCCTAAACTCTACATCTTAAGCCTCCTTAAACTCTAACCTGCGAGCCAGAGTTAGCCCAAACAGCAACCGAGCGGCACTACTGCGATGACATTCGCCTGCTTCTGGAGCATGGCGGAGCCTCTTTAATTCATGTTAAACTGGTATCTTTATCAATATGAACATCCTACTATTGTTCTTACTACTACTACCACCACCACCACCACCAGCACTACTACTACTACGACGACTACTCCTACTCCTGCACCTCCACCTACTCCGGCGGCCACTACTACTACTCCTCCTCCTCCTCCTACTCCTCCACTTACTCCTACTCCCACTCCTACTCTTGCGCCTACACCTACTCCTACTGCTACTGCAACTACTGCTCCTCCTCCTCCTCCTCCTCCTCCTACTCCTACTTCTACTCCCACTCCGACTCCTACTCCTACTCCGGGGGTTAAAACCAAGGCCTGTGCGCGGCATGACCCCACGGCGATGGAACATTGAGACTAAGGGGTTGCGAGGAAACGGACGCTGCGAAGTGAGATATGTGCGATGATCTAGGTCATGCAGGATTTTTGGGCATCAGCAGTAGTACAGTAGTAGTAGTAGTAGTAGTAGTAGTAGTAGTAGTAGTAGTAGTAGTAGTAGTAGTAGTAGTTGTAGTAGTAGTAGTAGTAGTAGTTGTAGTAGTAGTAGTAGTAGTAGTAGTAGTAGTAGTAGTAGTAGTAGTGGTAGTAGCAGTAATCGTATTACGAAGATCTTGATTGTTAGGCTAAGAGTCTTCTTAGTAGTAATAGCACAACTCGCAGTACTACGGTTTGAGGGTAGGCAGTCCAATATGGGAGTGTGGCTCGCGCATGTGGCTTTCATCGGTGTTTCTGAGGGTTGGGAGGCTTTGAACCTAACTCTTTGGGCCACTATCGGAGGAACCTTGCAAAAGACTGGGTTCTTGTATAGGAACTTAAGTTAAGCTACCACGACATGGACCTATAGTATACGTATTATGTGGAAAACGGATTGTGGTAACTTACATTCAGCTCCTTAACAAGACCCCAGAACAGCACAGGTGCTTGGAAGAGATACTGCCTTGTGATTGTGTGGGCAGCTATGCTTTTCGGCACAGCAGAAACCGAAAACAATCGAGTTACGTGCTTGGTGCAGTTTCGGCGTGGTTGTGCCTTGAACTGAAATCGGGTGAGGATTGGAGACTAGTGTCTCGTGGGGACATATGTTTGTCGCATTTACAACGAAACGAGATACATGTACCGGTCGATGGTACATCAAGTCCCAGCATTGCATTGCTCCCCGCCCTGCACCCTAAAACTGCAAGTATCGTGAAGGGCTCCAAGATGTTGTTGGATGAGTTTGCGGTCCGGAAGGCCGTCAGCGGAAGCGAAAGGAGCCGGGCATCTTTCGCAAGCTACTGGAAGTAGAGGACGTGGGATGTTTACGCTCACTGTCTTTCGGTTGTTTGCAAGATTAAATTCCATGCAGTCCCGTCCGGACTATGTAAGAGTCTCTGTGCCATCTTTAACCTACACAAACTTGCTGTCTCATTCATGCGTTCTTGTATAAGGCAGCTTCTCAAAACTAACCTTTGCAGCTCCATGCCTTGTGTCACCTTCCTCTTGGCTCTGGGAGCTGGCAGTTGCAGCTCAAGGACTTGTCAAAGGTTGCCAACTGCTACGTCAATCATAAATCTCGAAACATAGATGCAAAACCTTGCAATGAGTGAAGCTGGCAAGTTCCCTGGCCCTGAGTCCCCCAGATCTGCAAGGACTACTAACTTACGAAACCCACAGCCAGAGATTACTACTAGTACTAACACTAATGTTGAGATCTTGGAGCTCGCGCCTGCCAATGCAAGCCACACGGCGGCCGTGCATAAGGTGCACAGCCTGCACGCTACCGCCATGGCAACTGCAAAGTTTGGCAGGACTTTGGCGTAGCAACGGTTCCGAAATGAATGTTGGTTAGCACAGCAGATACCTGGAAAGCAAAGACGACAAGGCACGTTGCATGTCTATCACAGTATCATCTGCGGATCACATTGAGCATCAACGGAGAAGCACACGCTCCCGACCAAATCTTGGCATCTGCGAAATATCGGGCCTGATAAACCCTAAACTCTAAACCCCAAAGCAAATTACCGTGACTCCCGACTTCCTGGAATCGGCCGTAAGCAATTGTAGACCCGGGGTGCAAAAGCCGGCCATATCATGTGCATATGTCTGCTAATATGCCGGCAGGAACAATGATCTAAACATGTGTATGTGTGTATATTTGCATACATATATCCGTATACACATATACTATGTAAATACACATAGACACATAAAAGTAAAGAAATATAGACAGCTAGATAGATAGGTAGACATATGGGTAGATACAAACAGATTGATTTAGAGAGAGAGCGAGCGAGCGAGCGAGCGAGCGAGCGAGCGAGCGAGGGAGGGAGAGAGGAGAGAGAGAGAGAGAGAGAGAGAGAGAGAGAGAGAGAGAGAGAGAGAGAGAGAGAGAGAGAGAGAGAGAGAGAGAGAGAGAGAGAGAGAGAGAGAGAGAGAAAGAGAGAGAGAGAGAGAGAGGGAGGGAGGGAGGGAGGGAGGGAGGGAGGGAGGGAGGGAGGGAGGGAGAGAGAGAGAGGAGAGAGAGACAGAGAGACTTGAAAGGGCTCACAGCCGAATCCAATGACCTGCGACAAAGAGGGCCTGACGGGCTTCAGGGCGAAGCCGCAAATATGGGGGAGCTGGCCTCAGCATCATTTCCAGGTCTAGGTAGCGACCAGCCGAAGCGTAGGGTAGGGTGATTCGAAGGATATACATATGAATCTTCCTCATATTGACCTGCTACCTGCGGAAGTGGTAGAATACTTGTAGAGGAAGACGTAGTAGTTAGCTGTGGTGGTGGTGGTGGTGGCGGTGGTGGTAGTAGTAGTATCAGTAGTAGTGAGAAGTGGTAAGTACTCGTAGAGGAAGCGGCAGGAATACAAGGAGCAGGAGCAGACGCCTCAGAGTGGGGTCGGCGAGGGCTACCTTCAAGATCAAGTAGCAGCTCACCCTTATCCATTAAAAGGACGCTGCTCTTTTCAATTTCGGTAGTTCTGATATACAAAGTCTTTACCGAAGGTCCGAAGGTAGCTTGCTCGATTTGTACTTCCTTGGGACATGTAAACTCCAGACCGGACATATCTGTTGCAGCCTAGATGGGAAGGCTTCGCGCGTGGGACTGTTAGACTTGAATTCGACAGAGCCAGCAGTTCTCGACGCCTGGGCTTGCAGAGTTTCGGGTTTGAGATACTACCGCCATCCAACACATCAACATCCCCCAATGACTCTCGGGAACAAAACCCACCAGCTCTGGTGCACTTCCTATAACCACCTTTGGATTTTCCGGATGCGAAACGCCTCCAGTGAGACAACCCCGCATCCCTAAATCCTGCACCTAGCTGTAGGGGTATTCTAGCACAGCATAATGATCAGAACTATAAGGTGATGCTATTGCCAGCGGTTCCGGGCCCATATTGACCAGAACTGTTTCCTTAAAGCCCCTAATTACGCCTGTACTACTTGGCTTTATCGATGATGAGTTGTTTACAGCCCTTTTCATGACAAGCCACTTAAATTTTTATGAAGGCACATTATGCATGGATACCCAAAACAGAGCGTCTCCAAGCCAAACGGAACCCGGAGTAAGACGACATTGACAACCCTAAACCCTAAACCATAAACCCTAAAACCCTAAACGAAGCAGATCCAGGGACCGGGACCCTGGTTTTCGAACCGCCCCTGGGTGCCTTCCTGGAGCCCTCGAGCCATGCACCCCAAGCACACCCAACAATTCATATAGGGCCCTGAATAATTGCAATAGGGTTTTGGTGTGTGTGTGTGTATATCTAAATATACAGACGTATATTGTACTATCAGGATAATACGGAACTTCCAGAACAGTATTGGTAAGTATTTAGGGCCCTATACTAATCCCCCTTAATGCCCCTTATACCTTACAGACTCCTGTAAAGGAACCCTCCTAACGAATAAGATTGGCAAGTATTTAGGCCCCTATACTACCCCCCCATAATACCCCTTACAGTAATTAATCCTTAAAAAAGCCCTTTAAAAGGAACCCCTTAGAGGGACCCCTATTCTAATTTTCCCCTGAGATCGCGCACCCAAAGCTCAAATCCCCGAGGCCGGCGCTATCTTCTGAAGCAGGTTCCCCCTGGGTTTAGGGTTTAGGGTTTAGGGGTTTAGGGTTTAGGGGTTTAGGGTTTAGGGTAGAAGATTCAGGAAGTTGGGACTTTGACTAGTGAAAGGGAGTGAGTCAAGCGTTGGGTTTAGGGTTTAGGGGGTTCGGGAATTTGGGAAGCCTCTGAACATAGGGGACAAATACTAATCCTGCATTACCCTAAGGACGCTAAACTATGGGAATTATGGTATATTCCGTAGTATGGGTAATGCAAGATTTATATCATCAACCGTAGGATCCTTCTTCGGACCCCAAAATGGTGTACCAGAAACTCCCATTTGGGACTCTGAGTTGGGCTTAGGGTTTAGGGTTTGTCACCAGATTCAGGGAATTTTGGGAGTTTCCGAAAAAAGGGGACCCTAGTATAGTACCCTAAATACTAGGATCCTTATTATAAGGGCACCAAATTAATGTACCCAGAAATGTTCGGAAACTCCCATTTGGGACTTTGACAAGTGTTAAAGATTTCATCAATGGTTTCGGGGTTTGCCACAAGATTCAGGAATTTGGGGCTTTGACTGTGTCTATACTGAGCTTAGACCCCTAGCACAAAATACAATGTTAGCCGTTTCTTAGGGTCTATAATAACACAAAGATTAGAAATTATTTCTAAGTGCCCCTAAGTAGTGCTGGAGGTTGAAGCAAGGGTTTGCGAAATAGGGGTTTTGGGGTTGAGGATATCAGGGCTTTCGGGTTTCATGAATGGAGGGTTACCAGTCAAGGCAACCCTAAACTCTAAAAAAATAAGGCCTTGGGGTCCGGGAAGGGAAGATGCAAGAAGATGGGCTACTACTAGTAGGATCTGCTACTCCTGCAATCCAATCGCTACATGTTCTCGTCAAACAACCTTGATGCTTGCCAGCCTCACCGGAATCGCTAGATGATGATGATGATGTCGGTGCTCCCGGCACAGCAAACGGCGGCTCGCGGTAATTATCAGGAAGGCTCAACAGTCAAGATGCGATCCGCAAGGCTAGCAGGTGTCTGTTTGAGTTCGACACGTGCTCCCTTTCGTGGGAAGAGTGCAGTGGACGGAGGGGAAGCTCCTGTCTTTCTTAACCTGCTTAGTCGCTTATGACTGTTGCGCAGCGACGTGGATCGTGTGGGGTGTTACTCATTCAACCCTACACCCTAAACGGTTGAAGCTCAACTGTGTCCTGGCTTTGACAAGCAGGACTTGGCACATAACCCCAAAAAAATCCAGGTAATTAGTAGTATAGTACATAAATTTGGGCCCTCAATATCTACTGAGGACCTACTATATCGCTAAGCCTGAGAAGCGTAAGGCCCGCGAAAGGATCTGTGTTTCTGTCCGCATCCCGTGGGGAAAGGGCCCGAGTGTCACTTGCGGTTTGCTGGTATTTGTGATGGGGTTTACCCAGAGGCTCCAAAGTAGTTCCTTTGGGGATCCCCTTATAGGATTCTAAATATGAACCCAAAAAGGAACTACTATGGAGCCTCTAGGTAGGGTCTAGGGGTTAGGGTTTAACAAATTGTGGGGTTGAGGGTTCAGTGGTGTGTGTATTTCAATCTTCCAAGACAACCTCCTTGCACCACAAACCATGATGGCATGCAGTCGGGCTCCTTATAGAACCCCTACTAGGAAGCCTAAAGAGCCGTCTATACAACCGAAACCATTACATATGGGATGCTGTCAGGCTCCTTCTAGAACCCCTAGTTAGAACCCTACACATTTTGTTTATATATCCTAAACCAATATGGCCTGCTGCCAGGCTCCTTATAGAAGCCTTGACCCTATAGCCTATAGAGCCCTCTAACCACGACCTACACCACGATTCCATGCTGCACCTTAACCCTGAACAACCTTCCTTTTCAAGGACTTTTTAAAGGAAATCATGAAAAGGAACCCTAAAAAGGGTATATAGGTTCTTCAGGGTTAAGGTAAGACTGCGGAGAGGTGGCCTCCTCCTGCCCTTGGCTTGGCGAAGAACTCGACAAAGAGCCAGCCTGCACGGTTTAGGGTTTAAGGACTGGATCTACGAGTCTAGGGTTTTGGGGTTTCCTTGTTATACTTATAGTATAATGGGCCGCCCTAAACCCTATTCTAATTATTAAGGCCCCTATGGTGCACAACTGCGGCTCGAAGGTCAACCAAGAAGCCCAGAGAAGGATGTCTCGTGCCCTAAACCCTAAGCCCTACAAACCCCAAACCCCTCGTGCCTGGTTCAAGCTGCCGGTGGTCTCACTCGAGGCTGGTGAGTCCTGCGCGAAGGCTGTTCTCGGTTTAGGGTGAAGGGTTTATGGTTTACGTCACCCTCTTTGCCTTGGCCCTTGTGGGTATTCAGTTCCAGGGAGCTATACAACTCCGAAGCATTGCAAGCCGATGCACTCCCTTCAACTGCAATGGAGTCCTAGATGATCTTCCTGGCTGCACAATCCCGTCCCCAACCCAGACTAAACCCTAAACCCCATCAACTAACAAAAGGCAGATCCCTTAACTCCAAAACCCTGCAGCCCTCAACTCGAAAACTCTCAGGGCTTCTGAGGTTTGGCTCGCTGCCCCATGCAGAACAGACCAGCTGGCTTTTACCTATTGACTCAGAAAACTTCGACTAGACAATACCCATACCTGTGGCATTGTGCAGCAGCACCCAAATCGCTACGGCTACGGCGACCTCCTGCACACCCAACCCCGTTGTGCATGGACTGTCCTTCTGTGCCATGCACACCTCGGATCGGGTAGTGAGTCTTGGACCCCTGATTCAGGTCACCCCTGCCCTAAATCAAAAGGGGCAAGAGGAATCCTAATTTAAGTCTGTAAGGAAACAGGGTCCTCATTAACCAATGGGTCTAGTATCTAAGGGGCTTGATAATTAGAACAAGGTGTGAGCAGTTTCCTCTCCTCAGTAGCATGGGCAAGTCTTTAGGCCCCTATATTTCATGATTGTGGAATCCATCTGCTCCTGAAATGATTGTGCGACTGCCGTGCTGACACTTCGACTGCTGCCTTACCTTACCAAAGACCGGGATTTAATTCAGAACCCCGGGAAAATGATATGGTTCCGCCTAACACCCTTGGATGTCTGTTCGAAAGCACAGTCCAAGCCAGCCCAAGAGCTTCGTGGACCAAGCAAAGACTACCCTCAAGAACATTTGCAGCTTCTGCCACTCTTGCTTGTCCAGCGTCTTCGGGGAACTAATAACCTTTCGGATTGCATAGGAATTAGAGTACCCCCCACAAACTTAAAGGTTACCTAATCTACCTCGAAGTGCTGCTTGTCCCACTGCTTTTAACTACGTGCCACTGCTGCTACTGCTGCTGCTAACTACTGAAAGCATCACTGCGCCACCATGCGGGCTGCAGAATAGCACATGTTACCACGACTGGTCTGTGCTCTGATCCAATGACTGCTCATGAAGCTCTCAACCCCAAACCCTGAACCCTAATCCCGATCGCCCAAGCTTGCGAACCCTAAACCCTAAACCCTAAACCCCTAAACCCTAAACCCTAAACCCCTAAACCCTAAACCCTAACGCTAATAAATCCAGGCAGGTCTGCGAAGCAGGCAAGTCACCCGACGGAGCAAGCAAATGGAGAAAAGCGCCAGGAACTCCACAGTGCAATGACCCCTGGCAGCCCGGATTCCTCTAAGGGTTCCATAATGGGTTAGAGGGGATCGATAGGGGTTTCAAGAAAGGAGACTGTTCATCTCTGACATAATTAATTCGGGGCCTGAATCTGAGGAACAAGAGTGTCGAAGCTGCCTAATCTTTGGGACTCGGAGCGTTTTTGGGTTCCAGAGTCAACCCAAGTCCAAAATTTCAGCCTGGAGCCTTCGGTGTCTGTCTTAGTTTTTCGGTCATGCGGCCAAGATATGGGTAGTTCTCTAACTTAGGCTCCTGTCGAGGTCCCCCCCAAATGGTACGGCACTGCCATACAGAGAACCACCCATGTGCTAAACCCATGTTCATTCTGGCAAAAGCGGCATAGGGGCTGATCGACAACCTACTTCTAAACTTAGGCTGGGTTTTGAATCAGCGGGGCTAGGGTGGGCTGCCCACTTGTTGTAAGCTAGGTGAAACGGAATCGAAAAACAAAACTCCTCTGAATAACCCGCCTTGAACATCGAACTTGGACACAAGCCCCAATCCCGAAGCTCCTGGCCACTGCTTCACAGACCTCCACCAAAGGCTTACTTGTGGCGATGGCCGCCTTGCAATTCCAGGCAGCCGGAGCCAAGAGATCCAAGCCTTGTCAAACGCTTCAAAAGTAGAGATACTGTTGGCGGAATACTGGGCAGCTTACAACCCCGAATGTGAGACCGAGTCAAAACCGAATCAACAAAGACATGGGCACCGGAAGTCCGAAAGCTCTTGAACTCTGTGAATGATATAAACCCTGCATTACCACAAGGACCCTAAACTATGGGAAAACTGGTATATTCCCTTATTATAGGCAATGCAGGGCTTATATCATCGATCGTACGAGTACTTAGGCCTTTGAACCCTAACCCTAAACCATAGATGCGATCCCTGCACCCTTGAGGCTGTTTTTGATGCAGTTGGACTTTAAGGTTTAGGGTTGCGGGTCTCGAATTTGGAGATACGGCCCCAAGCTTACGTTTCTTTGCATAATCCTCGGAACAGTCAGGATGCTAACGATCTATCACTGCCATGCTACTTTTAGCTAGTACTGCTGGCACGCATGACTTCATCATCCGTATCGTCATTGGTCATCCTGGTCGTTACCTAGAGGCTCCATAGTAGTTCCTTTTTGGGTTCATGTTTAGAACCCAATAAGGGAATCCCCAAAAGGAACTACTATGGAGCCTCTGGGTATACGATCAAAGGCAAGAGTGCTAGTGATAGTGATAAGATACACTACGGAGCGCTGAGGGTCAGGCTCCAAGCGCCGAATAACCATGTAACAATGTACTCCTCAGTACTTGCTACCTATGCACCACTATCCTAAGCCCAAGTATTTAAGTATGTCATCGCTGGGCACTTCGGAAGTGGCATAGATCCAGCTTGCAAGCATGGCGCACAACAGGGGCTGGATATTCGGGAGTGGGACCGCATGGGACGTAACTATCAGGCTGCCCAGGTTCTCGTGTTAGGGTTTAGGGGTGTAGGGTTTAGGGTCAAGGATGTGGGGGTACAGAAGATATCCTCGATTCTTTGTACCACTGAGGAAGAGGCTTCCTGGTTGCCTGAGCAAGCTCTCTCTGGCATTCGAAGACTTTACTATAGGGGCCTTAATAATTAGACTAGGGTTGTGGGGCCCCTTGTGCTATAATTATAATAAGGAACCCCCCCAAAATAGTATAGGTAATTGTTAAGGCCCCTTAGGTTCAGGGTTTCCAGTCCCAGGCACCATGTCAGTCATAAACCCTCAACCCTGCCGGGAGCCCGGAGAACCTACCGTTTTAGAGTTGCTTGCTGGTAAAGATTCCCGTGTATTGGGAGTTTCCGAAAATAGGGGACCCCAATAGAGTACCCCTAAATAGTAGGATCCTTACTATAAGGATCCCCAAATAAGGTACCCCTATTTGCCCGAACTCCCGTATATAAGTCATTGGAAAGGTAGGTTGTTCAGGGTCCATAAACCCTGAATCCCTGCGACCCCAGGACTTCATGCAGTCTTACTGTAATCAGCATGATGTTTAGCTACCGAGCTCTGGTCAACGTCTGTCCTCTGTCTCACGATATGTATGTCAAAGTGTAGCGGATTACGTAACTGACTACAATCACGATCTCCTGGAAATCTGTACTGTTACTTAAACATCGCTCTCATGTGCGTCCACGTGGCTGCCCCACATCGCGTACGCTGTGTCTGGCAGTGGCTCCCCGTGCAGGCAGCGCCCATCGAATCTGACAGGTTGATGCTCTGGTAACTTTAGTCTTCGTCTTGATGCATGATACGAATCTGTATGTTTCTCGGTCTGTCTGTCTGTCTGTCTGTCTGTCTGGCTGTCCGTATGTCTACATGAATGCCTGCTGGTGTCAAAACATATGTACGAAGACAGACAGACAAACAGACAGACAGTAGATTGAATTATAGATAGCTAGCTGGCTAGGTTTAATGTAGATAGACGAGGTGCATATATACATATATACAAGGAAATAAACACACACACATATATATATACATACATACATACATATCCTTAGTGTATACATGCACACATACACACTTATCTCTCTCGCTCTTTCTCCTCTCTTTCTTGCTCTGCCCTTCACCGGGCGCTCTCGGTCGGGACTTGCAGGCTGCAAATGGCTAGGTTTCTTGTGAATGAAATCCGCGCGAAACAGCAGAGGCATGATAGTCGGAATATAAGATTTCGGTCATGTTCACTCACTTCTCTGACACTCTAGAGGTGGTTGATGCTTGACTCCACCGGTCTATTGTAAACAGATCTCGAGTAAGGATATGAGGAACCCAACCGTGATCAAGCATGGCCACTTCTGTGCAACTCATCTCTCTCGCTCTCTCGTACTGTGTATATATATATATATATATATACACACACACATATATCATTTAGCTAGCTAACTAACTATCTATCTATCGCCCTGGATCTGAAACACTCTTCTGGAGAGTGGAAGGCAGCTCGCCAAACATAGATAGGCAGACGCAAACATGTCCACACCCCCGGATGCGAATCCACTGTTGTTGATGAGTCTGACAGCTCCACATGCAACAAAGGTTGCTGAGGTCCGAGCCTACCAGATGCCTCAGATTCGGCCCGCTTCTCAGATTACGTGCACTTCGTCCGCGGCCCCAAAACCGAACTGTAAACCCTTGGAGTTTGGGGCTCAGTGTTCACTTGCCGCTTCGAACCTAGATCTTGTTGTGTTCATACCAGCACAGTGGCCAACTTCGAGCAGCAGCCTTACTGACAAACAGGAGCTTCCAGCCAGCAATCAAGTAATTTAGGGTTGTTCCAGAAATAGAAACGGCGCCTTGCAGGGTGCTATCAATGGGCAGGAGTTGCCTGGAAGAAGTGCGGCAGAGGGCAGCCTAATTGGAAGAGGGGAACTCGTGGCGCACGAGCACAGGGAAGGCATGTAGTTGTAAATGCGCATATAACATATACATGTACGTGTATATACACATATATCAATACATATGTCAGTAAGTAAATAGATAATACATATATATATATATATATATACACATACATGTATATAAGCTGCACGATATAACTTGTAGGACCGTCAAATACCTTTCAGCTTTGTACCGGCCTAATATCTGACAGATAATCTCTCAAGCACGCTGCAATTTGAGCTGCATCTTGCGACGTCGTGAACCCAATATGATAAAGAAGATATCTCATTTTCCCCATTCGCCCTGCAAGTATGTACGTATGTATGAGTCAAAGTCACACATATATGCATGCAAATGGGCCCAACTAATGGGCCGTAACTTCAATCCGTTTTTCGAATCTGGGGCTCTTGAATATGTTTCCTGCACTAAGTTGTTAGCAGTTAGCAGTTTATGACTACTGATGAATCGTCACCGAGGCACAGAGCATCAAACGGAAGGCAAACTGACCACTTTGAGATAACCTGCCGAGAAACAGGGCGTCCTTAGGGTTTAGGGTCTGGAATAAAATGGTTGCAGCTTCGCCAGGGCTTTGACTCTACAAGTGGCTTGGGGGCAACAACCACGACTATTATATCAAATCTACCTCTATGTAACTCCTACTCCTTTCGATTAGTTACCCTCCACCACGACGACAGACGACGACAACGAACACCGCCTCCCAGATTGGAAGCGCTGAACTTCGAGCACCGGCAGTCTGTATCCTGGTAAGACCATATCGGTACGAGGGTTAGGAATCGCCAGGATACAGGTTATCTATTCAGCTACGAAGCTTCTGTCACACCTGCAGGTTGCCATCGACTGCAGAAGCTAGCCACTGATTTTGCCAAAAGACGAAAGAAGCAAAAACGCGGCAGCACTGATATCACATAAAACAGCATAAGACACAAACATGACATGTTATGCTGTAAGCACAGAAAGAACGGGACACGATAGCGCTGAATAACTAGAGCAGGACACGATAACTTGAATGACTAGTAGGAATATAAACAAACAACAGGCAACACACATTGTATAAGTGTGTTTGCCCATTAATAAGATGTGTATATACACACATACCCCGGCACACAGGCCATCACAGGGCTCTCTATTTTCGTTCCTGCATCTACGTGTGCTCAAACGTGAACGACTTAATACACAAGTACATTGAAAATCACAGCAACCAACAAACACAACAACCAAACGGATTGAATAGAAATATCTATAGCATCTTTATGTATAGAGAGACTGTAGGAGAGAGAGAGAGAGAGAGAGAGAGAGAGAGAGAGAGAGAGAGAGAGCGATAGAGAGAGATAGACCGAAACAACAACAAAACAAACACATAGAGAGAGAGAGAGAGAGAAAGAAAGAAAGACACGGCGAGAGAGAGAGATAGAGAGAGAGAGAGAACGGCAGCCTCAGCTGTTGGGCTGCTGTGAAGAGGTGGCGAGAGCCAGGACAACAAGGACCAGCCTTGCGGCAGAAGCTGTGTTTAGTGCTTTCGAGTTTCGCCTGGCCAAACCATTTAAACCTAAACTCTAAGAGGAGCAGGAAGTTGGGTTTAAGTTCCAGTTCGAAGTTCCAAGGTTCAGGCCTGGATTCGACAGCTTTTTGGGTAGGTATCGCTGCCTTTCTGAATTCGCGAACGTAGAGTTTATGGCTTCGAGCGAAGGTGTTTGGGTTCAGCGTTGTCCAGTCCAGTCGCGAGGCCATGTCAAGACGGGCGGAGTTCGACTGCCGTGGCTTTCTGATCCCTGCACGATCTCGGCTTTAGGCTTTGAGGCCATACCACATACAAATGTATGTATGTATGTATGTATGTGTATCACCAGTCGCACAAACAACTAGTTACAAACACACACACACACACATGCGATAGACTACTGTGCACTGAGCAAGAAAAGCACTGAAGCTGGGAACCACTGTACACCTATTCCACACTCTTGCGGTCAAGAACTCCGCACACAGCCCCATATTCCTCAATTAAGTGACACCCTTGTGCAATCGAGTACGATGAGGGTTCCTTTCAAAGTTCCTTTACGGGCACTATAGGGCTTCCGCTAATGTCTACTCCCGAATTAAGGCGACAACTAAGAGGGGCTTTCCGGATCACAGCTCACCGAGTAGGCGCAAGGCTCACCAGCAAAGACAGCAGTATTACCTGGGCCCAAACCCTACATATCCGAGGCATGCCTTGCTTTGGGGTCAGGATTTGAAGGTTTAGGGTTTTGGACGGTTTTAGGATTCAGGATTTTGGGTTGGGTTTTCTTGTAAGGCTTAGGAACTGGGGTGAAGGGTAAGATTTAGACTGGCTTTGGCCGTTGGTGCTGTCCATATCTTGCTTCACTCTTTGCAGCCAGTAGACTGCTATGCGACAGCCGTAGCTTGTCCTGCCCGATCAGAGTTCAGCATGTTTACATTGTCCGAGGGTGTGTGCGTATGTACATATTCGTATATATATATATATATATAATTTATATGTATGTGAACATGTGTAATATATATATATATATATATATATATATATATATATATATATATATATAATGTATATGTATGTGAACATGTGTACAATTGTATACACACATACATATAGGGAGGGAGTGAAACAGGCTGCATGCTAGACGAAACTGTGTTGATACTCCAGGTTACATGTTGCTCCACTTTCTTGTTCATATGTCAGGACAGTAGCTGATGATGCGTGAAGACAGTGTTGTGGCCCTGTGTACAGCACGATAGCACTTCGGGCATGTTAAGCTTCAGGGTTTGGGGCCTGTTATTCTGGCAGATTGTAGCGGGAGCATTGGAGCATTGCAGGTGATGCCGATGATGATGGTTGTGATCACGGGGTTGTGCCGATGCTTGTGTTGACGGTGATGGTAATGCTGATCCTGCTTACGCAGCTGCGGTGGCTAGGCACTGGTGTAAAAGCATAGCACTGAGGGCTCCATGCAAAATTCCCTAAAGCCGTATGTCAGCAAGCCCTGGTTCAGAAATCCAAAAGCAAATGGAAGACCATAGCTAAGCAAAGAGCGGGGCAAGTTTGGAGGATAGGGTTTAGGGTCGTGATGCTCGTCCCCAACCAAGAAACTAATTCGTTCAGGAACCCTCGAAGATGCATCTAGGGCACAGCGCACATCCTCGGAACAAGCTTCAAGTGTGGGTATTCCGGGCTACTAGAAGGGGGTCTGGGGGGTATACTGTTTGTAAGGATCTAGGGACATGTAGGGACCACTCTAAGGCAAACGACTAGTGACTGTTCTTGCCCCTACATGTAGCTGACTCATGCTCTCGGAACAATATAGAGGCTCCTTTGCAGAGCTTGAGTGCCCACCGACGCCATCGGACTCTTCGCAGCGACATACTCCACGTTTCTACCATGCTGTTTTCAGGAGGTTCACTTTATCAGTCTGGCCGGTGACAGAGCTCAACATCCGCTGGGCCTCCGATAAACTTTGATTGGCAATGGCAGGGGCAGAGAGAGCAAGAGAGAGCAAAAGAGAGAGAGAGAGAGAGAGAGTGTGTGTGTGTGTTGTTCAGCTATTGACTGGCAATGGTCTCTGGTCTGTTTGCCTTCTTCTCCTGCATGACATGCAAGCAAGGACACGAGACATCACAATAACGAACGCACAAGAGCGCCAAAACACTACACATCATTCAACTTGACTTGCAACAGCAGAAGGAACCTTGCCAATGTGACAACTAACAAGATCACCATGCAAATGAGAGATAAACAACCTAGAGACAAGTTCCTGCCCCCGCCAATAGACACTCAAAACCCAAAGCCCTAACAACTCCAAACCCTCATGCCTTATATGCAAACCTCGGGCCCCTCGTCCTAACGTTCCAAGCCCCAACTAAAGCTTAATGCCACAGAAGCGTGATGCCCCATAATCCCCAACCCCTACAACCAAACCTTACAACAAAAAGGCCATAAGCCCGAAACTCCATTATACACTCTCCGCAGAACTCTCCCCTAGACTCGTCTAAACCCTCTAAACCCTCACATTCAGTAAACCCTTAACCACAAAACCCTATAACATCCTTGGAGCCCTTGCACAGAGGCCTCACCAAAAAATGTAACCCCCTGTAGACCGCTACAGCCCCTGAACCCCAGCTGTAAAATCCCTACAACACCTAAACGCTAAACCCGCTTCTGAATCCTTCCCCCTTCACCGCCCCCTGAACCCTAAACCCCAAACCCATGACCTAAACCTTTAACCAAAACCCCAAAAGCTCAACCCTATAACTGAACACTGAACCCTACACTCAAACGCTATTTACTCCAAACCCTGAACCCTACCCTACCCTGAACCCTAAACCGCTCTACAAGCCGTAAACCAAAAAAACCTACACCAAAACCCTACAACCAAAACCCTCAACCTAAACCCCTAAACCCCCTCCAAACCCCCAATAAACCCTAAGCCCTACCCAAAACCCACATCCCTAAACCCCGCTAGAAAACCCTGATGCAGGAACCTGATTACGAAACCTTGGACCTGTATTGGGGTTCCTTATATGAATCCTACTACTTTGGTGTTATAGGCCCAAGGTTTCTTAATCAGGTTCCTACATTAACCCTAAACCCCCCTAGAAAACCCTGAAAGCCCCCTAGAAAACCCTAAACCCCCCTAGAAAACCTTAAACCACCCTAGAAAACCCTGAACCCCCCCCTCAAACCCTAAACCCCCTAGAAACCCTTAAAGCCCCCCTAGACAACCCTGAACCCCCTACAAAACCCTAAGCACCCTAGAAAAGCCTAAAAACCACCCTTTAAAACCCCCCCCCCTAGAAAACCCTAAACCCCTCCTAGAAAGCCCTGAACCCTAAATCCTTAACCCCCAAACCCTAAACCACCCTAAACCCCCCCTAGACAACCCGAGCCCGGAGCCAAGGGGCCGCCGCAGCCAGCGATTGGCCGCCTCGGCGCTGAGAAGGCGGCCGGCGTCTCCTGAGGCCTCGGCTGCCCGGAGACTCCAATACTTGGAGGATCCCCGGGTTCCTTTAAGGGGATCTATAGGGTTCCTTTTAAAGGGAAGTATAATAGAATCTATAAGGTTTAGGGTTTAGGGTCTACTTAAAGGATCAGGGGACTCCAAGTCCTAGTTTTTTGGAGTCCCCTAAACCCAAAACCCCAAAGATCCCCTAAAGGAGCCCTTAAAGGAACCCTTAAAGGAACCCTAGGTATTCCTCAGTTTAAGGTATATGGGACTCTCTGCTTGGAGGATCAGGGGACTTAAGAAGTAAGGGTTCTGAAAGGGCTCCTTAAAGGGATCTATAGGGGCTCCTCAAAGGGATCTATAGGGTTTAGGGTTTAGGGTCTACTTAAAGGATCATGGGACTTAGTAACTTTAAAGGGCTCCTTAAAGGGTTCCTATAAGGGATCTATAGGGGTTTAGGGTACTTAAAGGATCATGGGACTTGGTAGCTAGGCTTATAAATAGGGTACCTATAGGCTGCCCGGCGACTTCAGGAATACCTACGGTTGATGATAAAAAATAATCCGGCATTACCCATAATAAGGAATATACCATAATTCCCATAGTTTAGGGTCCTTAAGGTAATGCAGGACGTCAACCGTAGGAATTAGGATTTAGGGCTTATTTATTTAGGATTTAGGGCATATTTAAGGGCTCCCATATCCCTTAAATTGAGGAATACCTAGGGTTCCTTTAAGGTTCAGGGTTTAAGGGACTCCAAACTCGCTTAATTAAGGAACATTCCTTAAATTATGGTAGGATCCCTAATATGTATGCGTCAAGGTATATTCCCTGTTTCAGATATTGGAGTCTCTGGGTGCGCGGGTCTCAGCTTCGGCCGGCGAAAGTGTTGGGGTTTGGGGCTTTGGGGTTAGGATTTGGGGCTTATTTAGGGATTAGGATTTAGGGATTAGGATTTCGGGCTGATTTAGGGATTAGGGTTAGGATTTAGGGTGTGGGGTTTAGGAACTGGGAATTGATTTGGGGGGATTATAGGTGTTAGGGAAAGCAAGGGCTGATTCTGGCATTCATGGTGGGACACGACAAAAGGGCATCGAGGGGATTCAAGGTGAGCAACGCTGGCACATGCAAAGCCAATGCTCATGATCCATGGATGGATACCGTGGGTGGGGACAGGGGAAGCCTGGGAGGGGTCGGGCTGGAACCGCCCAGAATGCGGATGCATATTATGGCTTTGGAGTTGTGTAGGGCCTTAGATAGCATTGCAGGAGTTCAGGGGGATGTCCAACCGTTCAACAAGGGATTTACAGGCTACGTTGGGGCGCGGAAGGCTTGGGCTGGCGAACCTGGCAACATGTGGTTGCCGACAGGAGAGGGTAGGTAGGTACATATGTCTGTATGCATGCACACAGTCTCGGAATGGTGCATCTTTGAACCGCTTCTTCACGGATCGTCATTCGATAGTATGCTGGGGCATTAACCTGGCGTTCTCGGATAATGGAGGGTTGGTTTCAAGGGGAGCACACTCTGTCAAGCTGTCTTATCTCGGCTCTGATAATATGTGATGTGAGTCAAGTACAACAATTGAGTCATTGAAGGATAGCTCATGCTGTTTCTGCAGGATACGGGCTGACCACTCTCGAAAACACCAGCTTTCAGCGGCTAGCTGCGCACGCTGTCAACAGGTGATAACAGGCTGCACGGTCGGATCTTTGTATAGGTCCGTATGTAAGTCCGTTTGAACAGAACTTTTTAGGATGTGCCTAGATAATGTACGAAATCGGCATGGCCACCTCAGCTTAAGAATCCATCACTGCGAAAAAAACGTCGTATATGTGATGGTACTTGCATTGCACCAGGTTGTTTGTTTACCTACGTTCAGCAGGTCGATTCTGATAGCACCTCTTCTCACGAACTACACAGGTCGTTGATTTGGCAACTTGTTACTATTGCCCCTAAACCCTAAACCCTAGTCTCTCAGGACAGGCACGACTTCCTGCAAAGGACAGAGCACAAAATGGAGCATGCAAAGGATTGAGACTGCTGGGCAGTGGCTTGCGAGGCTTCGAAACTACACGGCCCTAAACACCCTTAACCCTGCTAAACCTGACACCCGAAACCCCAAACGCTAAATCAAACCTAAACCCTATTCCCCTACCCAGAGGCTCCATAGTAGTTCCTTTTGGGGATTCCCTTATAGGATTCTAAATATGAGCCCGAAAAGGAACTACTATGGAGCCTCTAGGTAAACCCCCAAATCCAGACCCAAGAGTAACCTAGGAACAAAAAGGATGCCCTTTTTGGGTTAAAGGGGGTTACAATTATAAGAGAACCTAAACCCATAGATAAGGGACTAAGGGCCTACTCTGGGTCCTAGAAATTAAACCTCGAAACCCTGGAGCTGCCATCTGATACCGGGTTGCCAGGAATGCGGCGGCGAGGCAAACCGAGATGATGGAATAGGCATCCGCGCTGAAGACGGTCGTTAGAAGGATCAGCCTAGGCAGAGCGGGCCACAGGCTCGAGAATCGAAAGATGAGCTAGGTTTTAGGGGGTTTAGGGATTTAGGGGCTTAGGGGGTTTAGGGGGAATAGGGATTTAGGGGCTTAGGGATTATAAGGGGTTCGGCGTTCTGGGGGTTTAGGGCTTAGGGTTGGTATGGGGACCATAATACGGGGAAAGCCCCTCATGAAGTGTAAGCTTCCGGGCATACGGTTATCGGGATTTCGAGATTGGGTTGCAGGATGTTGCGGGTACTGACGCCTTTGCTGGCGGGCATTATGAAGGGTTTACGATTCAGGGTTTTAGGGTGTAGGGGTTGACGGCTTCAGGGTTTGCAGGTTTAGAACTCTACGATACTTCCCTCGGTGTCCTCAACCCGGGGTTTAAGTATGTTTCGCACGGGTTTCCATTGCCGTAGTGCAAGAATATCCCAGTTCTCAAAAGTATGCTCCACAGGTCTTCATAATGAGAATCGGGTTTAAGGGTAGGCTAGCGGCTATGCCGCAATTACAGTATACGATGAATATGTTCAGGAGCTCGCACAAGGATCATGGCTTATTTTATCAACTTCCCAACTGCCAGAGCCGAGTGGGCCGGGGGTTTAGGGTTTATAGGGCATATAGGGTATAGGGATTGGGGCTTAGGGTTTAGAGCATAGGGATGGGCTTAAGGGCTAGAGCCCTAAACTTACATGGAACCCTGAAGTAGTACTCGTTTCGGTGCGTGCTTAATTACTTAGGATTGAAGGGTTACGGCTCCAAAAGGACAAGTATCCATAAGGAACCCTCTTTCAGACTGCTGGGGAGCGGATGTGCTTTAATAGTTTAGGATCCCCTGACTTGCTGATTAGGGCCATGAGTGTTGGAATTGAAGGGCTTTGGGCTCTGCAACCAGCAGATATTTCAAGCCTACCAACTCAAGTCGATTGGTAAAGAGTAAAGTAAAGATGTATATGTATGTACAGTAAGCTTGCATCAATGGAAAACTCAAGACGATCAAAGCCGCACTAAGCCGTAAATCCCAAAAGACCCAGCACCATAAACCCCAGAGTCCGAAAGCCAAGAACCCGCAGAGCCACAACCACGCCTCGGCCCTGTGCACTAGATTCACTTTTTCGTCCCTTCGGTACGGCGATGTCCGACGACTCGTAGGGCGCATTAACTCACAGCCTTCGCATGGGGGGAACCTCATCGTGTGCTGCACTGTTACTGTGGCGAACATGTTTGTCATTGCACATCAGAAATCTTTGGAATGGTGTCCAGCGGTGGCTGCTGCTGCAGCTCCAAATATTACTAGCTCTGCCAGCCACTACCACTGCCACTTCCACTACTACTGCTTGTGTTGCTGCTACTGCTACATAGAACTTATAGGGTGTAGGTCTTAGTGGTTTGGGGCTCCGGGGCATAGGCTTTGGCGTGTAGGTCTTAGGGGTGTAGGGCCTCGGGGCTTAGGGTTTGGGGTCAGTAGTGGCTCGGGGCTGGGGTGTACGAGCGTGGTTCTGTTTTGTTTCACGGCCGTCTCGGCGTGGGGTCTAAGCTCTCGGGTTCAGGGAACAGTAATAGATTTGTTGCATCCGTGCGAGGAAGACAATTTTTTCTGTGACTATCGGACGAAAAACAACTCGTGTGCCCTAAATCCCAAAACCGTAAACCTCCGCCATGCGAAGCCCTGTGGCAGCGCGCCGCCCCTCAGCAGACGCACTCAGCAACTGCGAGACGATTCCAAGTTGGGGGATGCTCACGGTTTGAAATCTACATACAGTAGAAGCCAGAAAGTTGGAATATCATTATCATACTCCCTTTAGGGTAAATTATAGGGGATCCTGCCATTATTCCATATTCCAACTTTCTGGAGTTCCTTTTAAACCTACATAACCCCTTCAACTTTTCGTCGTGCTCTCATAGTCCATCGCCCAGAGTCTGTAGTAAGTCTTAAAAATGTCCTTCATGACAGCAACGGACACTACTATACTGAACCTGACAACTTAAAACACACGAACTTGATGATCTGACTGGTTTAGTGTACACTCGCTACCTGCCACTGTGGCGCCATGTACAAGCAGAACCAAGTTTGCGAGAAGTCATAGTGCCGCTATAATGGGGACTGTAAGGGGACATTACTATTACAGCTATTACAAGTTTTTCCGACCCTCATATTGGATTGCATGAAAGCCACAAGCCCTGGTGGAACCATGTAGGGATTTGGCCCTAATCCTTGTATCTAAACCCTGAACCCTAAACCTATACCCTAAATCTAAGCCTTAAACCCTAAACCTATACCCTAAATCTAAGCCTTAAACCCTAAACCTATACCCTAAATCTCAGCCCTTAAACATAAACACAAAATCCATAAGCCCAGCGACCCAACGACAAATGCGAGTCCAACTTCGGAGCCCGGAGTTCATGGGTGCTGGGTACTTAAAGGATCAGGGGACTTAGTAACTAGGGTTCCTTAAAGGGCGCCTTAAAGGGATCTACAAGGGCTCCTTAAAGCTTTGTATAATGGATCTATAAGGGATTAGGGTACTTGAGGGGTCATGGGACTTAGTAACTAAGGTTAAAAATAAGGTAACTATATTTACAATTACTTATGAGGAAAAATAAGGTAACTCTACTTATGATTACTTATAACCCTAATTAGGGCACTTATAACCTTACTTACCAAGTCCCCTCATCCTCCAATTATGGTTTTGGATGTGAGCCCCCTCCAGGAAAGTATGGGAAGCATGGACAGGACAGCTTAGAGCTGCGTAACGGAGACAGAAGTGACACCGGGCGCCTGCCAAGCTCTTTTGATAACTTGTATCAGGATTGAAACAGCTAGATGGAAGCGGAGCACACTAGTTGCAAAAGCTTTCGGGCTCGCAGTAATATGAGTGGCTAGACTCTTGGCTGCGAACCTTAACAACACCAAAACGACTAACTAGCTCTGCCGAGGAAGACAGCTAAGAGACAGTAGGTCTGACAGCAAGGCCATCATGTCAAGTTTCGCCTGAAACTGATGACCCGAGGTAATCCTAACGCCGGTAAAAGAGCTGGACCAGGAGATGTGCCGTCACTTGCTAAGCATGTGAACTCGTCGGTGCAAGCATCGGACCAGGTCAGCTTTGTTCGGAAATGAGTGTGAACAGGTGGACATTGATCTGCAGAATCGCTAAACTAATCATAGAGGTAACCTGGGTTTGTTTGATGGAGATCCCCCACGAGATTGTTGCATTCCAGCCTTGCCACAAGCTCTGAATGCTGCAGACTGTGTCGGGCTTTTGACCACATGCCAGAATTTGGACAGAGAAAGCCCAATTCTGGTAAATGCATGCTGGCTACGGCATTTCTAAAAGAAGATCATGTCGTGCTAGTAGGTTTAGGCGAAAGTCAAGCAATTACCACCGTGCTGCCCGGTCAGATGTTTGCACGGAAAAACATGCCGACATAAAAAAGACTCTGCCGCAACATATCTCTCATTCGACTGCGATTCTTTCGACACATACCTGCACAAACTGCCGGTAACTAGCGACACAGAATAGCACGACGAAGACATAAATGACATTTTTCATGGTGATGCCGATGACGACCATAATGTCGGCTGTTGGCAGTGGCTGGTGATGGCGATGATGCTGACGACCATGATGATGACCATAGTGAGGGTGACGATGCTGTTAAGGGTAACAGTGATGGTCCTGATGAGGATCAGGATGATGATGATTATTATGATGATGATGATGATGGCGAGGCACCAGCAGATAGGGAGCAAGAGAAGAAGCAAACGAGGATTCGAGCATGGCATTCACGAAATTCTAATCATGTAAGCCCCAAGCCCCAAACCCTAAGCCGCGCACCTTACACCCTGAAGCCTAAACCCCCAACCTTCCCATGGGAATTTCCGAAAATAGGGGACCCCAATATAGTACCCTAAATGGTAGGATCCTTATTGTAAGGACCCCAAGATGAGGTACCCCTAACTTTCGGAAACTCCCACATGCGTCCCACTGTTTGCAAGTGTGGGCGCTCATCCATCGACCCCTAGATCTAAGAGTAACATAGGAAAAAAAAGGGTGCCCTTTTTGGTTTAAAGGGGGTCATAAGGGAACCTAAACCCTGAAAAAGGGAATAAGGGCCTACTCTGGGTCCTAGACCCGATAGGGGTAAGACCTAATACACTCAACTATGAACCTACCCGGGCCCCACATGCAAGACAGGGGCCTTAATGATCGGAATGGGGCTTTGCGGCCCGCCATTATACTATAGTTCTAATAAGGAACCCCCAGAATAAGATAGGTTATCATTTCGGCCCCCCTTTTTTTTTCCCCCTTTTCTAAGGCCCTCATGGTCCGTAGTCCTTGAAGGGTATGACAGCGAGTGAATTGTGTACCCGGGCCCAGGTCTCTGCCAGAACCCTCAAGATCCGGCTTGGCCCACCTGTTTCTGCAGAGTCAGTGGCTGTCAAAGTTCTTCGCGTACCAACCTTATGAGGCGTCAGAGCGCCACCGTCAAGAAACGGAAAGACAGGATGCCGGCTCTTGCGATTTGTAACCCCGCAAACGGTAGAGAAACCTTTGCCCCGTGACCGTGTCCTAATCCTGCTATGATATGTATGGCCCAATGACTTTCAGAACTGGTTTGGCAAGTTTGGCAATCAGGGTGCATGGGAACTGCACAGCTACGCACCTGGCTGTCATAGAACATATAGCTAAGCTACATGTTTAGCACACCCATTTCACATGGTCCATCTCTCGAAGTAAATCAATTGACGGCTTCGGGCATAGGTTTGTGTTGGAGGCTTAGGGTTTAGGGTTCGGGATGTCCGGGTCTGGGCTCAAGGTGAGTGGTACATGTATTCTCTCTTAGGCCCGAGCCCGTTCGCAAATCTTTGAAGTTTTTGGTGCTTTCCCATGTTGGGCTTTGGTACCGCCCGTAGAAATCGTAGATACTGCTGATGGACGAAATCCTGCATGACCCTCAGGACTTTAAACTATGGGAACTATGGTCTATTCCTTATAA